GTTCACATGAAGGTTTTTCAGTCCGATTGAGCCGTCAATCCGATTACAAATGGATTATTTGGTTGCATGTAAACGTAGCCAGTGATTCGTGACGAACGCGGAGAAAAAAAAAAAGAAAGCCAGTCACGATTTAGAAGCACAAAACGAGGATTTGTAAAGAAAAATGTCAGAGGATTTCGATGTAAGCCAAGAGGAGACTGGTTTTCCTTTGCTAAAGTAAGGAAACTTTGCTTCCTTTGCTCCTGTAAACAAACTTCCGAGACTAGCATATTTCACAGGCGCGTGCGTGACGCATACGTCCTACATCATACGCTGGAATGGCTTGCATGTTTGACAGATAGCGGAAGTGAGAGAAAAGTGTTTATAACGTTTCAAATATGGATATTTTTCTTACAAAAACGCATCGATTCGCTACGGGAGGCCTTTATTCACCCCCCGGAGCCGTGTGAGGCACGTTTTATTATGGATGGATGCACATTATTTGACTACTTTTGGACTGTTGAAAAAAAACACCCATCTACCCCCATTCTAAAGCTTGGAAGAGCAAGGATCATTTTTAATATAACTCTGATTGGATTCGTCTGAAAGAAGAAAGTCATATACACCCAGGATGCCTTGATGGTGAGTAAAACATGGGCTAATTTTCATTTTTGGGTGAACTAACCCGTTAAAACAACTCCAGCAGTCTTTCAGTTAAAACCATCAGCCGTTGAGCTGCTTGCGTCAAAAGTCAGGAGCGTTTTCAACGGCTCATTTGCTTGTGTGCGCGTTCATGCTCAAGGTTGTTCAGCCACTTCACAGAGCATTTGTCATTGTTAGAAGTCTATTTTTACCTTTTGTCACTTTTTCTGAAACAAGCCGGACCTTGAACACAACAGCGAATGTTTTCCGCATGTGACTCAGCCGTGCGATGGATATTTGGATGGGTGTTGAAAATGAGGTTTGTGTTTTGGTTGTATGAAGTAGGTGGGTCGCATAGGGTGGTTGGGTAGTGAACACGAACATGTGCCTCTTTATCTGTAAATGAAGGAAATCATGTCTTCTTTTTTAAAAATGGTTGTGAATGGCTCATGCACTCTACCAGATCACTCTACTTACAGGACAACAGCCACATCCTAGGCCTTTAAACATCTTTTTAGAAATATTGATTTCCTTTCAAACCTGAGCTTGTTCATTCCTGTTTGATACGTGAGGTGTGATCTCACATGAGCAGCAGCTGATAGTGTTTCTTCACTAGGAGGCAGTCTTGAGCACTCCTTCATCTTGTTAACACAGCTTTCACTTATATGAGCAGCCTATTAATCTTAGGGTGTATTCACACCTGTCTTCTTTGGTTCGATTGAATCGAACTCAAGTTCGTTTCCCCTCTTGGTGCGGCCCTTTTTGGCAGGTGTGAATACAGCAATCGCACTCGGGTGCGAACCAAACAACCGTACCAAGACCCAACTGAAGAGGTGGTCTCGGTCCGCTTCCGAACGAACACTTGTTTTTAAACCACAATGCTTAAAAATGCATGCAAATTATGAATTTTTTGTGACCATGGCGCACAGCAACGTGACGTGAGCGCACTAAATAGGCTAAAGCTTGCCGCAAAAGTTACCATGAATATGTTGGGGGAAACTAATAAGAAGATTTTTGAATTATTTATTAATTAACTAGTGTTTTCTGAGTCAGTGTCGCAAAGATGAAATTGATGATCCTGACTCGCCATCTCATCATGGACGCGAAAAGAAATGCATCTTTACGGATTGCATAATGAAAGAGTTTTTTTGGATTTGACCTCATTTCGTTTTGTGGTCATTTAAAGCTTTCTATTGATATATTCATCATCTGTAAGGAAAATATTCGTTATTGGTTAATTTTTGTGAAGCGCTCCTGTTCAACACCGAGACGGCAAGCGCATCCTATTTGTTTTCTTTATTAGACAAAAGCACAACGTTTTGTTGATATTGTGAGTGCACACAAATAGACCATTTACAGTTCTTTTATCTATAGATTTTATTTTCGGCAAGTCGTACTTACAACATCGTATGACATTATCTCATATGATGCTCATAAGTTTCTTCATATTGCATTAGTAGGCTATCTGATTACACCAAATCAGTAAAAGAATAAAAATTGCTCTACGAAAGATCTCCATGATTAGCCTGTTTTGCACTTCCTGTTTTCCCTGCTTGAGAATTTCTGTCCAATGAATGAATGACCTTAGC